GCAGGAAGGCACCCAATGCCATGTTTCGGAGTTATCCCATAGAGATGCGAGCTTGTCAGACTCCCCGCAGTGGAAGCAATAGCCTAGCATCCGATATAGGTCCCATAACAGCAGTCGTTCCGCTAGTTTGGGTTTATCCCGCATTTCTTTCAGAGGGCAAAAGGGACACATGTGCGCATCCCCCAAAACAACTGGGCAAGCACAAACTCTTGCAGGCTGAAGCCAAACGCCACCCTTGACAGCAGCTATGGCTCCTTTCTCCATCGCCAGGGTCCCGGGATTCTTTCCTCTCCTCTTTTAGAGGCCTTCTCCGTCCCAGGGGCACAAGCCAGGGTTCTCCTCTGCTTTGACTGCTGGAGGCTTCGTATGGAGTTCTCTGCTCTGAATTAGTTGCTGGCTGTGATTTCAAGGCTTAACGGGTCAAGACGCAAATCGCCTTGACTTGTGGAGGGTTGTAAACATTTCTTACACAATTAGGAGACTTACACAAATCCCACCATGGCGGCTTCCTCTCCCCGGACCAGCCCACGACCAATGTTCCCTCTAAGCTGAGTTAGTGTGAGCTAGCTCACAGTATTTTAGCCTCCAGCTCACAGATTTTTGCCCTCGCTCAGGAAGGATGGGGCTCCTGAGCAAACTAATTTATGCAGCACCCAAATTGCTCGCTCACAACTGTAATGCCAGGAGCTCACAAAGAAGAATTTTTGCTCACCAGACTCTACAGCTTAGAGGGAGCATTGCCCACGACCCTATTCTTCATCAGTCAGACCCTCCGTCTGTCCTCCTGTGGGTCTCTTCCTAAGGGCCAAACTACAAGCGATGGTGGCCACAGGTCCATCCTGTGGCCAGCAACACCATTCTAGAAGCGTTTGTAGATTTTTGAAAAATTGCCACAAGGCCCTGGTCTGGATCCGGTGCGGATCAATGAAGGAACAAGAGTTCCCAGGGCTGTTGCAGATCAGGGTCTCACAGCCATGTTTAAAGAACTACAAATGCTTCTAAAATGGCAGCGGCCACAGGATAGACTCATGGCCACTGCCACTTGTAGTCTGGCCCTCTTAAGACTACCTTCTTTAATAAAACAGTTAACATAAGAACACAAGAGAAGCCAGTGTTGGATCAGGCCAAAGGCCCATCTATTCTAACACTCTGTCACACAGTGGCCAGAAATACCAGGGGCCATCAGGAGGCCCACCCAGCAGTGGGGCCAGGACACTAGGAGCCCTTCCACTGTTGCCCCCCAGCACCAAGAATACAGAGCATCACTTGCCCCAGAGCCCCTATCTATACCTTGTGGCTAATAACCACTGATGGACATCTGCTCCATATAAGAACATAAGAGAAACCCATGTTGGATCAGGCCAAAGGGCCATCCAGTCCAACACTCTGTCACACAGTGGCCAAAAATACCAGGTGCCATCAGGAGGTCCACCAGTGGGGCCAGGACATTAGAAGCCCTCCCACTGTTGGCCCCCCCAAGTACCAAGAAGACAGAGCATCCCTTGCCCCAGATCCCCTATCTATACCTTGTGGCCTAATAGCCACTGATGGACCTCTGCTCCATATGCCTATCTAATTCCCTTTTGAAGCTGTCCATGCTTGTAGCCGCCACCACCACCTCCTGTGGCAGTGAATTCCATGTGTGAATCAGTTCTATCATCTCACTTTCCCTTTTCCGCAATTGCCACCTGACACTCCCTTATCCTAAGCCTTCACTTCCTTTCTTGCCTGCCATAGACAGATGACAAACTTTCTGTAAAGACCAGGACAGTTTTACATTTTATGTGCTGGATGATGTTTTGTACACTATGGATATCACGCACACATGTTAAGTGGTAGTCAATAGTTAAGTAGTGGCAGACACCACACCCCCCAAGGCCAAAGTCATCTAATATGGGTGATATAATTGGCACAGTATTAAAAGTGTTGTAACTTTCCAGGGTGAATCTGTACCTTGTGATGATGTGGATTTTTTCCACCATAGTTTCAGACACCAGGGCTTGAGCTGGGGACTGATAGCCAGGTCAAACGCCTTACCGGGCTCCCTGCTCCACAGTTTGCAAGCAAACAGAAACAGCTGGTAGGATCTCTGCCGCTCTGCGGATGACCAGTCGTTCTGTACCATCCAGCCCAGCAGCTTCAGGACCAGTGGAGTCCCTTCTGGCCTTATCCTGTCTGTGCTTTGGCTCCCCAGTCGAAGGAATCATAGACTCATAGAGTTGGAAGGGACCTCCAGGGTCAGCGAGTCCAACCCCCTCTGCACAATGCAGGAAATTCACAAATACCTCCCCCTCCACACCCGCAGTGGCCCCCCGTTCCGCACCTAGAAGATGAACTCGTTACTTAATGCAGGTTGAGTTGCTGTGTATTGCCTGCCTGGCTCAACCACAAGCCAGCTGCGGAACAGGTTTAGGAACTGCAGTGAAAGAGGCCAGATCAGCCTCTGTCATCCACCACCCTCCAAATGTTGCCTGGAGGGCTTCCCTCTGTTGAATTGTGCTCTCTTGGTAGAGCGAACCTTGATGCCTACAAAAGGAACAGTGGTTTTTCTTCTTCTTCTTCTGTCTTCTGCTGCCGGAGCTTCGTCTAAGTGCGGGATGGGATTATAACCCACCTAGCCCCAGTTTCCACAGCTCTTATTAATTGGGGTCTGATCTAAATGTGAGACTAAGGAACTCACCCACAGGTAGCTCCTTTGCCTAGGAGTCTGACTAGTTTCAGTGAGAGGGTGTACGAGTGCCACGGCCTAGTGGAGTCCTCTAAGCGTCACCAGCATCGTGGTTAAATCGAGCCCCGGAGAGCCATTGAGGAGGTGGGACTTCAAGGGAACTCTTTGCATTGGTGGAATTTGAAATCCATATGAGTATTTACGTCTTTGAGACACTGGAGGGAATGGCATAAACTGCCCGTCTCCCCAGACCCCCCCTCCCTCCTTCCCTATTCCCTTTAGGGGAAGTTGTCCATGAAAACAAGGCAGTCTGGTATAATGCAGGAACTATCCAAGGTGCTGAAACCAACACTCTCCTCGCAAAGAGCCAAACCAAAGAACAAATTTAGAGTCCAGTGGCACCTTTAAGACCAGCAAGGGGTTATCAGAGCTTTCGCGTGCATGCACACTTTCCCAAATACATTGGAATGGTAGGTAAGGTTCAAACTTACAGACAGGGACTGGACAGCAAACTAACACACAACATGGCAATGTTTAAGATATGCAGAGTCAAAAATAACAAGCTAAGGTTATAAGGTCAACAGTTGTAAAGCAATAAATATGTCAGAATTGCAGATAAATGTCTAAAGGTGTCATTCACCCACCAGTTCCCTAAGAGGAGAGGCACTTTCCCCATCAACAGACATGAAGGTGGAAATGGCAAGACGGTTACCTGACTGCTGCTCCAGACGCCCAGCACCATTTTCCAGGGAGGGCTGTGTACATCAGTCACATTGGTCCCACCTAGTTTCACTGTAAAACTGGGGGGGGGGACAAGAAGAAGAAGAAGAGGAGGAGGAGGAGGAGGAGGAGGAGGAGGAGGAGATTGGATTCATGCCCCACCCTTCACTACCCAAAGGTGTCTCAGAGTGGCTTACAGACTCCTTTCCCTTCCCCTCCCCACAACAGACACCCTGGGAGGTTGGTGGGGCTGAGAGAGCTCTTGACAGAAATGGCTCTTTTTCAAGAACAGCTCTTATCAGAACTATGGTTTGTCCAAGGTCGTCCAGCAGGTGCAAGTGGAGGAGTGGGGAACCAAACCCGGTTCTCCCAGATTAGAGTCCACGCACTTAATCACTACACCAGACTGGCTACACAAAATTACCCCATGCTGCAAAGACTGGCCCACAGACAAAGACCAGGGTCTGCATTTGCCCTGAGTTCTGTCTGCCGAGGCCTCCTCAATTCCAACAGGCCACCACAAGCTTTTGTTGCAGTGGTTTCCACCATCTTTGTTCCCATGGTTTGGGATGGCACAGTCCCCTCTAACAGGCCCCACAGGAGGGACTGTGCCTGGCGGGGCACGGGCAGGGGTGAGGCTTGGGAGGGGGCCATGCATGGGCTCTTCGGCTCCTCCATGCTCACTCTCCCCTTTCTGTTTTCAGGTTGCTATAAAGATCATCTCAACGGCAGAAGCACCTGTAGAATATACCAAAAAGTTCCTTCCAAGAGAAATCTACTCCCTCAACGTTACCTACAAGCACTTAAATGTTGTGAGTCTCTTTTCTGCTCTGGCCGGGGGGAGGGGGTGCCACTGGGCAGCCGGTCTGGGACGTTGGTTAGAGTTGCACTAGGACCTGGGAGTCCTGGGTTCTGATCCACGCACCATGACCAAACTCAGTGGGGGACCTTGGACCAGTCCCCCTCTGTCTCAGCTTGAGCCAGCTCGCATGGTGGTGCAGAGGACAACACCATGAGGAAGGGAGAATGAGAGAGGGGCCAGTGGGGACTGAACCAGGGACTGGCTCCTTGCCAAGCAGATGCTCTGCTCCTGGGTCACACCGCCCCTCCCCAGCACAGGCGGAAAGGCTGGGAACTGAAGCGGAAGCCAGGGGTGGGGGGAGCTGGGCATGCCAGCCCGACAGAAGGGCTCAGCTAGATAGTTCAGGACTTTCAGAAGGGTGGCAATGGGTGATAAACCGCAATAGTCCAACCGGTTTCCAGAAAGGAAAGTCAAGCCAACTGTTGTCCCTGTGGAGGGAGGGGTGGGGCTGTCATGCCCAAAGCAACGACAAATTCCAGAGGGTGGCCAAAACTTCTTCCTCCACTAGCCATAGTGCGATTTATTGGCTGTGAAGAAAGCTAATATGATCTTAGGGTGCATGAACAGAAGCATTGTGTCCTGATCACGGGAGGTGGTCGTTCCGCTCTATTCTGCTATGGTCAGGTCTCACCTGGAGTCCTGTGTCCAGTTTTGGGCACCACATTTTAGGAAGGATGTTGACAAGCTCCAGCGTGTCCAGAAGAGGTCAACCAGGATGGCGAGAGGGTTGGAATTCAAGTCTTAGGAGGAAAGGCTGAAAGAGCTGGGTCTGTTTGGCCTGGGAAAGAGAAGGACTAGAGGGGACAGGATTGCAGTCTTCAAGTATGTGAAGGGCTGTCATGTAGAAGATGGAGCAGATCTATTCTCTCTCACTCTGGATTGCAAGACTAGATCTAATGGGGGGAAATTAAAAGGGAGTCATTACCGGCTAAATATCAGGAGAAACGTCTAAGAGTGGTTGAGCAGTGGAACAGACTGCCTCGGGAGGTGGTGGATGCTCCTTCGCTATGACTCTGAGACCTTCCAGAAATATACAAAATCTAAGACCAGCACTGTTAAATACTGGGTTCTAGACACATGGCAGTGATCAGCTCTGGTTTATTAAGTGATTTCAGCAAAGCTACAAGGACAACTGGCAGGGCTTGAGCCCTGCTTATGAAGCATGCAAACACCACACCCAACACACACACACTCCCAGTGATAGGCTATTTACATGACAACAACTTATCTATTGGTTTGTTCCAGGATCCTGGCGAGCTATTGTTCTAGAGTGGCAAGCTCAACCCGTCCTTAGAACAGCTTGAGGAATGGCTTAGGTTCAATACATAGCAAGCACTGAAAGTGGAAAAAGCAGGACAAAGCAAAGCTGAACACACTGCAGTTCATGGAATCATAGAGCTGAGAGGGACCTCCAGGATCAAGCGCCACACCCTAAAGGGCCGGCGCGTGGCCCCCAAAGAACCCAACCCTCGGGGCACAAGTAGGAAAAGGAATCCTGCTCCAGAAACAAGCCTCTACTCCCATGAGCCTTTTCCACCTGACAGTCCCTCTTGGCCTGGGAAGTAGACTTCAGTTTTGTGTCTCGACAAAAGACACCCGGTGTGCAGGATTCTGACTTAAAGACCTGTCTTTCTGAGTAAGCTGCTTTAGGTCAATTGGCCTCTCTTGCTAGGGATTCCGGCCAAGTCACTTCTTTACATGGTCTGTTGGCAACTCAGTGTTCAAAGAGCCCGGGGATGAACCAGGGAGGAAACAGGATCTTAGTCCTTTGGTCAGCTGTCAGAAGAGGTGTGAGAGATCTGTAATCTGTTTTCCTTTTCTGGTGCTCCAAAATCTCTTTGCCAAAGGAGTAAAGGTGTTCATGCTAGAGAAGGCTGGAGTGAAATCGTGTGAACCGGTCAGTAACCTCTACTGAAAAGTGAAATCCACAGCCTATGAGAACTAGGACTCACTCCTACAATGGGAATCAGAGCACGTCACAGTAGTGCCGCCGCTGTGGATCACGGAGGGCCGCTACCAACCCGAAGAGCCAGCTCTGCAGGCTCTGCACTCACCACCGCCTGGTTGCAAAAGCAATCTTCTATCGCTATAACCCTTGTAATGACCTCCAAGCCTGCAAAGCTGTCCTGCTCCCACCCCCCCCCCCCGGAGTTTGGCTTTATGGATCAGCATTCGACAGCGGCTGGCCCCCCGTTCTGCCTCCGCATTCAGCTGCCTGTGATGACGTAGCATCCTATCCGGAACGCCTGCATCTGCACCGTCTCAGTTATGACCATCATGGACAAATGGTGCTGCCCTTTAAAAATGAAACGCTGGGGCCAGACTAATGACGAAATTGTGTTGAAGCAAGGGCCCACCTTGCTTGAACGTGGGGCGGGTGCCGTGGAGGGCGGGTGCTCAGAAGAGTCCCTCAGAACCGCTGCTGTACCTCATGACACCTGCCTCGGTGGGAGCTTCATGTGAGCAGTGTCTCCACGTGAGCAGCACCTGAACACCGGAAGCTGCCTTCTACCAAATCAGACCTTTGCTCCGTCAAGGTCAGCACTGTCCACTCCGACTGGCAGTAGCTCTCCAGGGTCTCAGGAGGTCTTTCGCATCATCTCCTACCTGGTCCTTTTAACTGGAGATGCTGCCATGGGTTGAACCTGGGACCTTCTGCATGCCAAGCCTTCCCCGTGTGCAGACCAAAGATGGTGGACCCAGGCAAGCAGCAGCTGATTGGGTTAGACCACCACAGCCTGCTTCTGAGTCTTCCAAGCCTTGTGTGTGCTTGAAGGACTGTTGAGGCCCTGTGCTCAGGACGTGCTGGAAGGAGGAGGAGGAGGAGGAGGAGGAGATTGGCTCTATACCCTGCCCTTCACTACCCAAAGGAGTCTCAGAGCAGCTGACAAACTCCTTTCCCTTCCCCTCCCCACAACAGACACCCTGTGAGGCAAGTGGGGCTGAGAGAGCTCTGAGAGAAACTGCTCTTTTTCAAGGACAGCTCTTATCAGAACTATGGCTTGCCCAAGGTCATCCAGCCAGGTGCAAGTGGAGGAGTGGGGAATCAAACCTGGTTCTCCCAGATTAGGGTCCGCACACTTCACCACCCACCAAAAAAATACCCCCCCCCCCCCCCCCAGTCAGCTAATGGCTCGACTGGGGATTGGAACCTGCCTCCCCACATCCAAACGCAACACTCCAGCCCCAGTTCCACCAGAAGATGAATGATCTTGTGGGGCAGCAGGATGGTGACTTAATGTTACCCCTACTTACCCCCAACTGTCCACTGCTCTTAACCACTACACCAGACTCAGTGATCCCACGCTCAAGCAGAAATAGCAATACCAAGCAGGAGAAGCTAGGAGCCAAGCGGCTTGCTCTCCGCAGAGCTGTTTGAAAACGAGTGGAGCAGAGGTGCTTTTCAGGACTAGATGACTAGGTCTGAGGATGGGGGGGGGGTTGTTGACAAGATGCTATGACCCCCGTCTCGGGAAACTTTGGTTCCTTTGCAGATTCAGCTCTACGAGATGTACCGGAACAGTAAGCGCACCTACCTGGTCCTGGAGCTGGCCTCCAGGGGAGACCTCCTGGAGCACATCAACGCCACCTCTGACAGGCGAGAGTTCCCCGGGCTGGAGGAAGAAGAGGCACGGAGGCTCTTCCGCCAGATTGTCAGTGCCGTGGCACACTGCCACAATGTCGGCATCGTCCACAGGTGAGAGAAACAGTTGGGCAGAAGAGAGGGGAGGGCACAGCTGGCGTTGGGGCTCAGGGACTTCCCTCCAGGACCAAAGACAGCCTGGTGCCAGGACTGTGCTCCTGTGCCCTCTCGGAAGGCTGGGTACCGGGAACCAGCCGGAGTCCGGGCATGAACCACAACCAGTCGCTGCCCCAGGAACTCTCCGGGGCCTCCAGAAGATTAATGCCGTTCGCCAAGACATGATTTCACTCTCTCATTTCCTGGTGTGCTCAGCCTTGAACCTTGCAGGACAGAGAACGGGCTTGTTCCTTTCACTCCTCCGACGCTTGCATTCATCCTGACATCTCCAAAGGGCCAGAAGGATTCTGGGCACTACATAAGTACTGTGGCAGAACATGCCTGCTCTGGCCTGCAGGCCCCGTTTCTGCCTTGCCCTTCTTGGGGTTCCCAGCTCCTCCTGGAGGAACTTTTCCTTCCTCTCTCCTAGTAGCCGCTGCTGCCACCACCTGATCAATATGGGGGTTTCTAGCTGAGAGGATCAGGACCTCCAGTTCCCTTTCCTCGTTCAGAGGCCTTGCCTCAGTGTCCCTGAGGGAATAGCTAGTCACCAACTGCTTGCCTTCCCCGCCCCGGGGCTCTCCTTTGAAATAGCGTGTCTGAAACAGTGGTGCTCTATGTGGTACAGAGAACCACTTCCAGAATCAAAAGTTTAAAGTATTTTATTAAAAAGAAAGCATATTTTTAGCACCATGCTAGACTGAAGCAAGGAGGAACAAAAGAAATTGGTAAAATGCAAATCTTCTGTCCCCGTCCAAAACATGCCCTAACTAGATATTAAGAACTCTGTTTCAGCGTAAGTTAATGGAGGCAGGGGAGCATCGTGCCACACGCAGGGACTGGGCTTCATGGAGCAGATCTGGCTCGCATCTCCGTGGGCAGCTTGCTGTCCCAGCTGGTGAGAAGCCCCAAAGGGAACAGTGCTTTCCCTAGCTTCCTAGCAAGGGCTGGGGCCGGGGGGCCGCGCAGGAGGTCAGAGAGGGGGGGGGAAGAGAGAGCACCTGCTGCTTGCCAGTAAATGCTCTTCAGGTCCTTTTGCCATTTGTGTTCCCCCCAGAGACTTGAAATGTGAGAACATTTTGCTAGATGAACGTGGCTTCATTAAACTAACAGGTAAGCTTTGCTCCTCCCCTTTCCACACAGTCAAAAGTTTGGTGCTTAGAGAGTTCAGCAAAAATTAAACCTTGAATTATTAGGGGCCATACAGGCCATCTAGTCCCACCGCCTGCTCAATGCTTGGCATGACGTGAGAGGGGGGGGAGGGGGATATAGCCAGCCCAATAAGCAGCCCCCTTCCAAGCAGCCTCCCAGCACCTTCCCCCCAACCAAGAACTCCCAAGACCTTTCTGCTCTACCTTTGAGCAGGAGTGGCATGGTCGGGGCATTCAAGGAACCCTGGAGTGCGGGTTGAGGCCCCTTGCCCCAAAAAGCTCCGTGCGGTGCCCCTCCGTCTCCCCGCCTCTCCCTCATCCTTGCAAGGAACGCCCTGTGCGAGGCGGGTTAGGCCGGGCGGGAGGAGCAGGCCCAGCAAGCTAAGTGGCCAAATTGGCGGGGGGGGGGACTGGAACCCTAGTCCTGCCACTCCTCCCCGGGGGCTCAGGGCCAGCGGCGCGTGTCCTCCTCCTCACACAACAGAGCCCTTCCCCCCCACTCCAAGAGGGATGACTTCCAAACTCCTCTGAATCAGAGTAAGGCAGCATTCGGAAGACCTGTCTCCGCTGCCAGCGTGGCAGGGAGCTGTGAGCCCGCGTCACCTTGACCCCCCGGACCTGCCTGCTCCTTCCCCCCAGATTTTGGGTTTGCCAATCGCTATTCCCTGAAGAATTCCCTCATGAGCACCTTCTGTGGCTCCGTGGCCTACACTGCCCCGGAAATCCTCATGAGCAAGAAGTACAACGGGGAGCTGGCTGACCTGTGGAGCCTGTGAGTGGGGGG